ACTTTATTTTATTTATAAAAATATTTATAATTTATTCCCGTTTATAAAAATAATTGTATAAACAATACATTTTTCTCGTTTATAAAAATATTTATAACTTACTTTCGTTTATAAATATAATTGTATCAATAGTAGACTTTTTCTCATTTATAAATATATTTGTAAATCATTCTCATTTATAAAAATATTTATAATTCATTCTATTTAATACAATTATTACTTGTATTAAAATTATAACAATTATTGTTGTTCATTATTATCCGAAGAGGCCTCGTGAAGAATGAATTGGGCCCATGAACATTAAAAAGTCCAAAGAGCGCATAACTAACAAAGCAAAATGTTATAAATGGAGAACGTGGGTTGAATAGGAAGAATGAAGAACATGAGATCATTAAGAGAAGTTACCAGAGACACGTGGCGTACAAGGAAGTGAAGCTCGTCAGAAAGTAATTAGTTTTCATGTATTATAAATAAAGCACTTAGTGCATATTGTAAAAGGTTCAAACTTTCACATTCCTATACGCTAGTCACTCAGAGTATCCAAGCGAACGAGCGAAATGAGTCAAGCTAAGGCAATGTACGTTTGAATCATCCTATTTTTAACTGTTTTGATGTTATGTCATTTATATTTACAGTTTAAAACATCTTTTGTTTTATTTTACAAGTCTTGCTTTATTACTTATAAACTCGTTTGACACTAATCGAACAAATCTTTTTTAACATACTTTGTGAAAATACTCGAAAACTGAAGCACGATACTGAGATTCCCTGGTCGATCTCACCAGTAAACTTTTTGTTAAGAGACCAGCGTTGTTTACCAAAATCAAAGGTGAACAGTCACATAATACCAGAAATTTTGAAATGTCTGGTATTTCAATTTTTTTTTGAAAAATTATCAAAAATTTAGAAATTTCCGGTATTTTATATTTTTCTGATATTTTCTTATTTTACAGTGAGGATTAGAGACAAAGATGGTTCTATTGTTGGACGAACCACTGATAGAGCTGGTGCTGAAGCTAGTGTTGACGAGGCACAAACTTCAAAGCTACGGGTTGGACGTCATCCTCTGACCGGATCTCACCGGAAACACATGACTGAGCAGAATGTGCAGTTTCGCGCATCCGGCCGCCGGGATCATAGAGTATCCACTAGTAGGAGTGGCAAAGCAGGCGATCCGCCTCATTTAGACCCGTCCCGTTTAAGCCCGTTCAAAAGTGGGGCAGGACAGGACGAGCCAATATAGGAGTCCGAGCTCAAAAGTCAAGTCCACCCCGTTTACTAACGAATTGGCGGGCCGGTCCGCCAATTTTTTATATTTTTAATTTTACAATTTGATTTAATACATAATTTAGAAAAATTTTAATTATTACCAAAAAGGTCGATAAACAAATTTTTTTAACAACGCATAATAGAACTTCAAGATGTCTCAAGTCCAAAGAATTCAAAAAATTTAATGAATAAAGACCAATTACAACAAAAAACAAAATAAACTCAAGCACAATAAAAAATATCAAAATAAATAAACAATACATATAATCCTAATCTTATTTAAAAACTAACTCCTAAAAGAATCTAATTTAGAATTTACACAAAACCAACAATGATAACAATAACATTGCATAAAACATCACAGTGCATAAAATAATAATGTGTAAAATATCAACATCGAACTTTCTCACTGTTTACATTATAAAGACTCTTATATTGACCGATTCTTTAATAGTTAAATCCTAAATTTGTCACACGTATACACTAATCAAATTCTTCCTTTTCATAAAATCAACATTTATTTCTAAAGAAAACATATGAGCTAATATATTGAAAACTTAATAATTATGCATGTCATACATTTGTTCTTTTATTTCAATCATTTTCAATCAACGCATGTATTATAAAGTTATAGAAAGAATGTTACAATTATAATCCAATTTGTTTGTATAATAATTTATAATACAATCCTAAGAGATAAATGTTGTTTTTATAATTAAAATTGTTCTAATTCTTAATAAAAAGAGTAAAATTTAACAAAAAGTCCGCGGGGAAAACTCGCTCCGCCCCGCCTCGGTCCGCTTTTTAAAGCGGGTTAGGCGGGACATACCAACTTAAGGTACCGAGTCGAAAACCTCAGTCCATCCGGCCAAAAATGGCGGGTCAAACGGGCCAACCCGGTATGCCCAACCCGTTTTGCCACCCCTATCTACTAGGGAGATGCAAGCTCCTGCTGAGAAGGTACATGTTCCTTCTCCTATTATAGAGTCGATAGCCGAGGAGGTACAGACTCCTGCTCCTATTGTGGAGTTTGTGGTGCAGGAGCCTGAGCAGGAGGTTGTTGTTGAGCGAATTAATGAGGTGTCCATTGTTGATACAGACACCACGACTCATGCGTCTACAGAGCCATCAATACACACTAATGGAGGATTTATCGGAGGACCTTCAGACAGGTCCATGCTGACAGGATTTACGGATCATGTCGTGTATAATATGGCAAGGCGAGGTATATATTTTTGGTTTTGTTTAATTGCATAATTTTTATTTTTGCTTACAAGATTTGATGTAGAATAATTTGTTTTTGCTTCTTACAGGAGAGTCCGGTGTTGAAAGTCGCTTCTCATGATTCGAAGTTGAAGAATTTCCCTGAGAGTCCCATGCCTAAGGAGGTAAAGAGGATCATCAGCGAGTTCCATCTCCTGGAGTTTGTTGGTTGTTCCTTGACCATGCTGGACGCCTCCTTTTTATCAGCTTTTGTTGAGAGGTGGAACCCAGAGATATCAACCCTCCGTATTCCATTTGGGGAGATGAAGACGACTTTAGATGATATGGATGCCCTCTTTCATATTCTGATTGCTGGTACATTTTTTATACCAGTTTATAGGGATCAGGCGACAACCGTGCACATGGTTATGGAGGATTTGGAGTGTTCTGAGGCAGAGGTGCTGAAGGAGTTTGGTGAGACTCAGGGATTTCACCTTCAGATGTCTTGGCTGAGGAGTTTGTATAAAGAGCCAGTGGAGGCACAAAGGTACGAGACTACCGCTAGGGCGTACATGCTACATCTGGTGGCATGTACTCTCTTTGCGGACAAGTCTGAAGTTTATATTGATGTTCGATATTTGTCTCTCTTCAACGCACTTGACACCCCATGTTTGGCTTGGGGAGTGGAGACCTTGACCATGTTGTACTCGGCACTTGACGTTGCTTCTCATCTTGAGATCAGACAACTTGCTGGTTACCTAAGCTTGTTACAAATATACTATAATTTATTTGATGATTTTTATTAATTATTTGAGTGTATTTATATGATGATTTTTATGTATGCACTGCTGGATATACGAGCACTTTCCTCACATATGTGTGTGGAAGATCCATCGTGTCACGACACCTGAGCCATGTGCGAGGAGATGGAAGGCCAAGCAGGCCGTTCTAGGAGATTTGATGGAGTATCGGAGGAGGCTTGACGCTTTGACCTTGGATGATGTTGTATGGACACCCTATACATCTCATTGCTCTCATCGTCCATTTGAGGCATCTAATTTATATTCAGGACATATTAGATGAGAGAGCCATGTATAAGGCATCCCTCATTCAGTTACAGAGTTTCCATCTGGTGGGATTGATAGATGGTTTCAGAGTCACATCCTCACCTCCCCCCGTGAGATCATGGATACAACCGTCGAGGTTCAGCAGTCTGGGCAGTGTGAGGATGGATACATGAAGTGGTTTCACAGTGTGTCACAGCGTCGGGTCATACCACTGACTGCAGTAGCTGATGTTTTGACAACCGACTCTAGTTTATTGTCGTTCATGTTGACATTCTCATGGATTTGGTAAATCCATATGGTGAGATCTACAGAGGTTTAGCTAGGTTGACTGACGTAGCCCGTGGAGGACCTATGTAGATCTATTTTATTTTGGTTGTATAATATGTATATTTTGTGACAAACATCTTATTTATTGCATAATTTTTTGGTGAAAACCTAGAACAGTACAACAAACATAAAATAGTACAACAAACATAAACAAAAAACAACTATACAAGAAAACCTAGGCACTTTCGAATGATTCTGGACGTTTCATACACTTTATTATATCGTCGACGAATCTTCGGATTTGCGCATCCAACTCGATCGGACCTTTAGTTATCCTACGGTGAAATGATTTCCACATAGCCTTCACATCTTCATCATTCTTCAACTCGATTAAGTTGTATTTCACCCTTCCATTTGTATCAATCTAATCCTCCTAAAACTCAACATTTGTCACCCTTATGTTATCGGAATCAGGCAGCAAATTGTCCAACGTTTCTTTCAAGGTGGCAAAAGATTCGGAGCCATTTGAAAGCCTGAATTCAACAAGAGGGTTGTTGTCGTTGTAATACACTTCTGCCTTAATCAGAAAGTGAAGAAGAGACATTTTTTTGAGATGTATTTTCTCTATAATAAATGTCCCAATTTATACAAATAGTGATGCATTCTAGACCACACAAATATGTCAGTGCAATCAGAACCATCCAAATATGTCAGAAAAATCTCATCCGTTCAAAAAACCATATTTTTAATACTACCGAAAATTTCAATTTAATTGAAATTTCCGATATACCAGAAATTGTAAATACACTACCGGAAATTTACGGTATTGAAAATTTGTAGGAATGTATCGGAAATTTCATCTGAAAATTGTGTTCAACTCATCCAAAAATAAAAGTGGAATAAAAGAAATTGAGAGGTATGACATGTTAAATTCTCAATCCTTTTGTCCCTCCACCCTCTTTTTAACCCTTAAAAAAAGTGCTTCAAGTTTGCAAATTAAATTATTGAGATTTATACAATCAATAAAATAAATAGTCGTGTAAAGTACATGAATAATTTGTCTAGCCTCAACGATCAATGGTACAAATCAATCTCACTCAAAAGAAACTGGTTAAAAAGAAATAGTGAAAATGATATGCAAATCATATATATCCCCTTTAAACCATTCTATCAACACAAGGATTTTGTTTCCATTTACATGTCTAGGATTTCTTGATCATCACGGTTGGGCCCTCCTTGATCAGTTCCAAATGTCCGTTTGCTCATGTTCGTTCGCTGCACTAACCGAACCAATGCTTGAACCACTTCTGACATAGGTGGTCGGAATTCAGGTTCCGGCTGCACCAAAACAAAACAAAAATGCGTCAACATTAATCGTTCAAATGGATCTAGATTCCATGTAGTCGAGACATCTTGCATTCACACAATCACACGACCTCAGTCGCCTGATCTTAATAAGACAGTTCACATTTTGACTTTATAATGTAAACCATGATTGGGACATTACCTGAACACAAAGTGCAATGACATCGGCGAATCGAGAAAGAGACTTGACAGGGTAGAGTCCTTCTAGTGCAGGATCAACCATTTTAGCCAATGCATCAATATCATGGAGTTGAGGTGTCGCCCATCGAACTAACGACTGTTCAAACCTCGACCTTGAGCTGCAGAGAGAATAATTCAACAATCAGAAAATGAAAAGTCAGAACATTATATCAATGCATAGTTTCAATAACAGTTAGAAATGGTTTGGAAGCATCTCAGTGTAAAAGCTGTTACTTAAGCCTAAAGGTATTCCAATGTTTCACCTATCAAATGGTTTGCGTCCGCTTAAAAGCTCCAACATGATGACTCCAAAGCTGTAGACATCACTCTTAAGAGTATACTGACCAGACAATCCGACTTCTGGAGCATCGTTTCCGGATCCAGCATTATTGTTCAATACCTAAACATGAGACAAATGTTAGAACTTCTTATAACTACAGTGTTTGAATTCAATGTCACTAGACAAAAGGACTAAAATCGTGAATCAGCTAAGACCAGAACTGTATTTAAGCCAAAAGTATAAAATCACCTGGTTTGCATTTGGAATATAGCTGGCCAATCCACTGTCTGATAGATGCGGATTAAGATCAGCATCAAGCAATATGTTGGCTGCCTTTATATTCTTATGAACAACTGACGGTGAACAAACTTCGTGTAGGTACCTAAGAGATAAGTTAGTAGAGAGAGGTCATTATTTATTCGGGAATTTTTTCAAATTGAGATCTTCCATTAACACTAGCAAACAACTTACTCTAAAGCGCGTGCAATTCCCAAAGCAATTTTGACACGTGAATTCCATATCAATGGTTTAACATAATCGTCAGGGAGGTGAAGGAAGTCGTGCAGGGATCCATTTTTGTGAAACTCATAGACTAAGAGATGTTGTCCATGCTCAGAACAATAACCTTCAAGCTCTGTCACATTAGGATGATGCAAACGGGAGAGTTTTGAAACTATTTCCATGAAATCATCAGACATATCATTGGGAAGGACTGATGAATCTATCTTCTTCACGGCAAGAATCTACAATATTTTTAGAAAATCAATAAAAGAATCAAAACCAATAACATGCAAGACATGGACAACTATAGGGAAGCTCTCATAAGATAAAAGCTAATCCTAACTGGATTATAGAAATAGATATGAAATACCTTTCCATCATCAAATTGAGCACGGTATACACGCCCAAAAGACCCCTCGCCAAGAAGATGATCCACGCTGAAGCTTCCAGTAGCAATCTGGAGGTCAGCTATTGAATATGATTTCAAATTTGCAGGAGGTGCTACGGTCTTCTTGACTACAGTGAGCTTCTTTGGAAACTCGTCTTCATCAAACGATTTAGGAGGTGGTTTAAGGCTTATTGAAGCCGCAGAAGTATCAAATGTCTTCAAGTCAATTACAGAAGAAGTTTGCATTGAGTTCATTCCTACATTATGAAAGATGGTAATACGTCAATTTGACTGATAAAACTAAGATTCTACGAAATCATATATTCAAGATTCTGACCATGAACTTCATTTGAAGGAGCCAAGGGCTGATTGTCTAGCTTTTCCACATCGGGGTACGACTTCTTCTTCTTCGATCTTTTCTTCAACAGAAAGAATGCTAGTATTGCCCCAACGACTATGATAGAGATCACTATTCCGGCAATGGCACCAGCTCCTATACCTGATTTTTTGCTTCCTTCACTTGAACCAGAATTTGACGGGCTGTTATGTCCACCAGAATTGTGATGACTACCTTTGTCTTTTGGTAATGGAGGTGTACCAGGAGGAGGTGGGGGTGCAGGTCCAGAGCTCCATGAATTACCACTCTTTCTGCGTCATTAAATTCAACATTTTAAAGTTCATAAAACGTAGCTGAAAAAACATATTCTTATAGAATTAACCGATAACGACAATGCTTACTGTAGGTTTATGTTTTTTAACTGCTCTGGTATCCATCCTGTAAAATGATTGTTTTCCACATTCCTGAGAAACATTTTAGAATAGAAAAAAAATTAAATACAACAGATAACGTAATTACGTCGAAATATATGAAAGGATATTCCAGAGTTGTTATATGAAAATGAAACAACCAAAAAATACGTACAAATTATCAAGAGGCAGATCAGCAAGGACATCAATGGTTCCCGAAAATTGATTATTTTGTAGATACCTGCACACACGTAAACGAGTCAACTTAGAGTGCAATCAAAACAACGTAATTACTAACAATGAAAAAACAAATAGGATTGGAGATTTACATGGTGTTTATGCTTGAAAGGGAGTTCATCGTCTGAGGAAGGTTTCCAGTCAAAGAATTGAAAGAAACATCCCTGAAACCGATAAAAAATATTATAGTCGAGTGGCCGTAACTTGTCACATAAACTTGATATACATCTACTACACTACTTTAACATGGTTGAAGTGTTAGGAAGAAATCTCACAATGTAGAAAGGGAAGTAAGCTTTAGAAAGTTCACACTTAGTTCTTGTTGGAATTGATTGTGACCGAGATTCCTACATTATTGAGAATAATTTTAAAAACGAATCCCGATAACTTGTAAAAGGTTTATACAACGAGAAGTAGAAGAAATTAAGATAATTACACACAGGGTTATAAGAGAAGCAAAATCGGAAAAAGAATAAGGTATCCCGCCGTTGAAATTATTATTAGCAAGATTTCTGCAATAGAGTAACAAGAATGTTAGAATTTCAAAATCAGAACAAAAAAAATAATATTGAAGTAGAGTAACAGTGTATATATATATAGAAACATACAAGTGCTGCAAATTTTGAGGAAACTGGTACGGTAATGTGCCACCGAGATTGTTGTTACTCATGTCTCTGAAAAAGTTGAAAGGTCTCAATCATAGCAACTAAATATGGAAACCCGGATATATGATGAATGGTACTATTAACTTACAGGTTTGTAAGAGCTGAAAAGCTTTGTATCTGGTAAGCCAAAGTTCCGGTTAGTCCATGACCAGGTAACTTACTGATGAGAAAGTAAACAAAAATCATCAGACATTAATAGAATCAAAACCAATAACAATGAATTCATATAACGTGACAGAAAAGCGACGGTACATTTCTGTGATTCGGTTGCCTGAGCAAGTGATGCCTGTCCATGACTGTCCACAAGGATCGTTGTTGTTGTTGCCATTAACCGGCCAATTTAGCTGCGGCGGTGAGTTCATACTTTGATATAAACCCATTAAAGAAGAGGCTGTATTGAACATTCACAGTTCAAAAAAAGATAGTAGGTAAATCACAAATATGTACAATGAAAATTCCTATCCTAATATCCTTTGTATCACTGACACGTCGACACTGATAATAATTTAAGAAAATGAAATAACTGAAAATCAACGATGAACAAAAAAGTCTCATTTTATTAAAATTGAAATTAATAGCAAATGAATAAACCATATGGAAGAACTCCATCAAATCAATTTGAATAAAATAGGAATGAAAAGTTTATGCAGAAATAGATGGCAATCCGGAAACCGGCAACAAGGTACGCCGCTACTCCAAATAACAGATCAGTTGAAAAACTTCACATTAATCCAACAAGACAAGAACCAATAAAAAAACAAAAACAAAAAGTAAACCTTAGCCAAATCAAATTAATCTCCTAAGAAAAAGACAAAGAGATTAACTAGTACTAACAACTATCACTAGCAAACAATGCAAGCATCACTTGTAAGCAAGATCAAAGAAAAGACACTTTACCATCATTTGGATCTGTGTCACCATTGACAACAAGTGTACAGATACTGATGAAAACCAGCATCAGCATCAACCATGGATCCGCCGACATCTGAGTCAATCTTTACTTCCAAAAAAATCTGCCTACCCAGAAAGCAAAATCAATGTGCAACCAATCAATTTTGAATTTTTCTTAATAATTTACAAATGGGTTTCATTCCATTTGCTTATATATGTTGCCTCCATAACCGAGTAAGAGTAAAGCTGGCAAGCACGATTTAGCTACAAGAATCCAAGACACGTATGTTTTTTTTTTTTTTTTAATCTTACCTTATCACTGTCGAAGTTTTGTGTGAACTAATGTTGTTGTTATGTTCTTTTTTCCTTTTAAAATAAATGAATTATATGTTTTATTAGGAAATAAATAAAAAATTAGACTAGTTAGGTTTGAAAATTTTAGCATATGCTGGTTTAGAGAAAACTTCAAAGGTAGAGAAAAGTTTTTAGACTATAACCCTAAAATAAGTAATCATATATTAATCATATCACCAAATTTGTTATAAATTTAGAAAAGAAAGATTTTTAATTTTTATTTTAGGAAATAATGTTTATAAATTTTTATTTAAAAATAGAAGAATATATTTCTTTTTTTTTTATATAAATGAGATAATTTATTTTAATATATAGTAATATAAATATTTATTAAAATTTTAAATATGGTCAAAAGCATATTATTTTCTAAAAAGATATATTTTAAAAATAATTTTATAAAAAATATGCAAAATAATTTTAAATTTAAGTGATTTTTTAAATTTTAATATCTAAACAATTATAAAAAAATAATATAATACTTAAAATAAAAAATAATAATATTATATGAAACATTATTTAAATCAAACTTTGATTTTATTTTTTTTTAGGTAGGTAGTTTTCAAAAACCAACTTTTGAAAGAAGTAGACTAAATCACTAAACTCTATTTTAGGTAGGTAGTTTTCAAAATGAAAAATATTAATTTAATATTTATATTAATTTAATTATTTTTATCAAATGACAGAGTTAAAATAAAATATTTTGATGAATACCATGCTTTCTTTATGGTAAAACTTATGAAAATATGAAACAAGTTAAAACTTTGAAGATTTTAACATGTCAAAGGTATTTATAATAAAGAAAAATCAATTATATTTTTTAAAGTAAATAAAAGTTGTATTAATGAAAGAAAAAAAAAATCAAAAGCCTAACTCATCAACAAAAATTAATAAAATGAAAATTATCAAATTAAGTATATTCTATACGAAAACATTTCTCCGTACAAATTTAGATGAAGTTTCACCAAATCTTTTCTTAAATATAAAAATATGTATTGATTTACTATTACAAGAAATTTATGCTATTTTGGGCGCGAATGAGATTTTATCTCAGTTACACAATTGCAATAACAAATAGCGACATAAAAATTTGTCAATTTATCTTTTGATTTTTGAAAAATCGAGAAATTGATAGGATAATTGAAATAGTCATTGGTTTGATTCCCAAAAATAGCATTTTTTTCATTTTCAAAACTATGTAGTGTGCGCTACATATCTCTCGATTTTTGTTAATAATCGAGAGAAAAAGTTCAGTATTTATGTCGGTTTGATATAATAACTTAGTGGATATAGCCTATTTTTTTGTCATTTATAATTTGCCTTAAATCTCATTTTGACTGGACAATATCATTTTTTACACATAAACTATAAATTATATGACACAATTAGATCATTTTATTTTTGTTGACATTAAATATAATATTAGATATAATCCAAGTTGTGTAATCCAAACCCAAGTCCAAGCCTAATTATGATTAGTTAACTTACTTAGTATACAAGTTATGTGTATAGAGATAGACATAGTTTGCAATAATAGAATTCTAATTCTCTCTCTCTCTCTCTCTCTCTCTCTCTCTCTCTCTCTCTCTCTCTCTCTCTCTCTCTCTCTCTCTCTCTCTCTCTCTCTCTCTCTCTCTCTCTCTCTCTCTCTCTCTCTCTCTCTCTCTCTATCTCTCTCTCTCTCCAAATATGTAAACAAATTAATCTAACTCTCAAAGATGAACACGAATTTTATTGGTACCAAATTTTGACCTAAATATTTTTTAGAAAGTTCAAAACTAAAATTCATACTACTCAGACAATATAAATAAATTCTAAGGACATGGTCAGTTTCAGGACTATGATATCTACATTTTATCTTCACAAATCAGAATCAAATGATGCTTGTATGAAGAGTTGGAAGTTCACAAAACTCACATTGCAAATGGAGATCGTGTTTTAAGTTAGAGCTCACTTCAAGGTGCTGCAATGATCTAGTTAACTTCCTTGAACCTCTAGGAAGCTAATGCAATGCTTAGCTTAATTTGAGAGTGCTTGGAATATTCTGGAGAAGTCAAGTTGCATAGGTGTAAAGTGAGGTTTGGACAATGGTGATGGAGGTGTTACAAATGTAAAACAGGGAGGGAGATGAGTTATATTTGATGTAAGGAAGCTTTAGGATTGATTTGGAGAAGAAACGCACGAGTGGTTTGTGAGATGGAAATTCTTGGGCAGAAATGACAAGTTATGGTGTTTTTAGAGCAATTTCTTGTTTGAGGGAGTTTTCAGGCTTGCTAAATCGTGTCCTTAGTTGCAAAATAGTGTCTCAATTTATAGGAGAAGGTTTGGAAGCTTGGAGGGGTCAGAAGCAAGAGTTCACATGTTATGGCCATTTGACTTGTCTTTGAAGCAAGCTTGACAAGCATTGTTCCATGGCAAGGTAAAAGGCTATCTAAATTGGTTAGGCACTTTAAACATGCTTATCTGATTGTGTAGAGGATGCTTGTGCAGAAAGAACAAGTGCAATGCTCAAGACAAGTTGACTTTGTGATTAAAGCCACTTTACTAGAATGGTAATGTTACTTTGTGCCATTAATGGAAATGAAACTTGGATAATGATTGAAATACTTGGACAATGGATATATCAGTTCTATAATCAATTAATTGCAGAGTGAAACACAATTTAGAAGCCTGCAAAGTGAAGTTATGCAACATATAGGGTTTTGCTCAAGTGTTCATCACAAAAATGCATTGTATTTCAAGAATGGATGCCCAACTTCTTCTCTTCGATTATCTTAGCTAAAAAATGATCTCTTCAAGTTCTTTGATATTTTGGAAATCTTAAAATATCCTATACAACTTTCATGTTTTCCATTTTTACTAAATCAAATTGGAGCTATGTGAAAAATAGCCAAGAAGTTGGGACAAAAAATCTGCCTAAACTAGGTCAAAATTTCACTAAATGTTTAAGAAAAAGTACATGACTTCATGGGCCTATAACTTAAAATCTAAGCATTTTTTTGGATATGAGCCCTCTGATACAAAGTTGTAGATTTCATCAACATATACAACTTTCATGTTGAAGGTTTTCATTGAATCATCTTGGATCTTGGTGAAAAGATGGCACGAAGTAGTGAAATTATCATGTACAAAAACACTTAGAAAAATTTCTAAGTCTTGAAAAGTTTGAATTTTCAAATTGACTTTTGACTTTATTGATTTCTTGATGATCAAGTTTCATATTTTTGAATTTCTTGATGAATCTTGGCTTTTGAAACTCAATTTTGATCAAAAAGTCAAAGTTTGATTTTTGATGTATCAGTTGATTTTTCATCAATTGACCAAATTTCATCTATCAATTGTTTGATCTTGAGAGGTGAATTAAGTCATTCAATTAGGTCAAAATGATGTACTTGAATCCTTGAGATCATGTTTCAAACCAATAAGTCATGTATTAGTTCAAAAGTAAAAAATCAGTCATTCTAGTCAAAAACCCTAGTTTTGACCATTTTGCCTTTTTGATGATCTGAAAATTTTTCTCAGGGAATTATTATCCAAACTTGATAAAATAATAAATATGACTTCAAAATATTTATATTGGTAAAAAATCTTGAAGTTTGACTGTAGGTTGACCACAATTGACTTTTTACCCAATGTAGCTGATTTTCAGTCATCTGGTCAATTGACTTAGTAAAATTGTGATTCAAGACTTGAAACTTGACATGAGTTTTCTTAGAGGTCAATAATGATCCATGAAGGTCATTTGAGACATTAGAAATCTAATTGTCCTTGTGAAAATCAAAACCCTAATTTGAGACATCAGTGTTTAGGTGGTTTGACCTAGTCAACACTTGTGCAAATCCGAGTCATTGGAGATATTGTGAGAAATGTCTTGAGAAAAGAGAAGGAAAATTTTGGGGTACAACAGAAGGCATCAGCCCAACATAATCGGATGTCCTCTATATCCTCTTGTGAGAATGGTGCTTTGTTGCTAAACGCCTATAATTTGAGCAAAATTTAAATTATGATAAGCTAACAACAATAACATTAACTGAACAAATATAAATAAATTACATGTATATGAATAGAGTTAATATCTTAAGTCATGAATTGGTAATGCCTCCGGAGACAATATTTAACTTATGTCTCATAACATAGTATCCACAAGAACAAATGTCACGTTGTTTTTGTGATTACAAATAATTTTCATAAAGTTACCAATTAATACACACAAAACATAAGTAATATAAATAAATAATGTAAAAAATCATAAATAATACTTACTTTTGTAAAAATGAACCTTGGATTTTTACCAAGTCGATTACGTTTCACGAAATTGTATCCCTCTGTAACTCTACATGTCAGTAAAAATTAAACATGAATAAAAACTATTTAAAATAAAAGGTAAATTGAGTATTACAAATAATACAACTTACCTTCTCAAAATTTTATGCATATCTTTATTAATTTTATAGTGTAACGAACATAAAATAAACTACAATATTTTGCTTCAGACATATAATAACTAGTTGCCAATGTGAACAACATAAATATTCAGAATAATTAATAATATGTATAAAATTGATTTATAAATGAATTTTTTTTTACTATATACTTATTCATGGTAAAAAGGTCCCATGTAACATTCTTTATTCTCATTGGATCCATATCTTGACAATGTTTGCTACCATATCTTGAAAGTTAATGCTCATTGGATCCAAGAAGCAATAATTTCTTAATTTTCTTTCAACACATGTATCATGC